TATTGAAAATTTACGTGCGATATGGTGCATGCACTCAATAGTTCCACTTATTTTAATAAGGAATCTCTATAGGTGGCGCTGCCACATCGTCATTGACATCGAGTCAAATATCGTAAAATATAATAACATTGTTTATATAGGCTTTTATCGCAGTACGCACTATGATCTGTATGTGTTTGCGTGCGCGAAAAAGTGTCCATGAACATGTGTTTGCGCACACAAAACATAATTATTTTCCCATGGAGTTGCATTCGGACGCTGGATGCTTATTTACGAATTATTATTTCGGACACGATGATGTAGTATTATGGTGCAGATGGTGTGCGTCAAACGTTCTCACCCACTCGCTTGTTTGGCCATTCGCATAAGCATTTAACAGCTGATGAAAGTGAATGAAAAAAATCCGGAAATGAATGTGTATTGGTGTGACGAGTGAAATGATGATTGATTGGTTTTTTGATGGTGGCGCAAAAGCCATTTGAGCTGCTGCTATGTACACAATTTCGGACTCGCTTCAGCTCACTTTCAATTCATTTTTGATGTCAAGTCTCAACTTAAGGAGGAGGCAAGTGAACAAAAAAAATCAAATCAATTATTATAGCTAGCATGCAGATGCTATGTCCGTTGCTTGATTACAAGCCAGTCAGTCACGTTAAACAAAGATTGATTATCGTTCACACCGAAAATTCAGACGAAATTTTTATATACTTTTTTTCTCTTTCCGCAAAATTCCTCTTTTTTCCCACTTTACTTTTTTCGGTCTTGTCCATAAATTCGCGATACTAGCGAGGAAATTTGAAACTATTCGAATGATGACATATTTGTTTTGGCCATAATTCATGCGACTGGCTTCGCTGGTGTCATCATCAATGTCAACATGATATGAAGCGGAACTGGGCCAACGTAAAAAAGTGCCGAAAACGGGAAAGCGAGAGGGAGATTGAGATCCGATTTTTCCACGGTTCACTACCTTCTGCACTCTTGTGTCAACTTGATGGCATGTGAACAACACTTGCACCGTTCATAAATTCAGCATTTATGATGACCGAACTGCTGGTGCCCAACCATTTATGTCACATACGGCATTGTTTACGATGCGCACCCAGGCACCAAAACTACCGCTTTATTTATGCACTTTACTCGATCCACCTCCAACTAGTCTTAATGTACTAACTCGCAGCGCTTCAATTGACTAACGACCAAATAATTCGCTATCCATCGTTAACCAACCACCCACCCAGCTACCTCTGTCTCCTGTTCCAAGTAAGCTTTCCGCTTTTACAACTGAATAAAAACATAAATACACCGATCATAAAACACTTGTTCTGTCTTAATTTATGAGCAAAATTGCAACACATTTGTTACCGATTAACTCAAGTGCAACGGCTTCAACATTGCATTTTATATTATACTATACATGTTTTAGACAATTTCATTTTACAACCCGAATCGGTATGTGCGTGTGTGTAAGAGAGAGAGAGAGAGAGAGAGAGAGAGAGAGAGAGAGAGAGAGAGAGAGAGAGAAAGATAATATTTCTAAAGCGAAACATACGCTCCGAATGACGTTCTAATGGAATATCGTTTTTAAAGAGATTCACGTATATGGAATTATGGGAACGAGCTTTTTCCGGACGTTTGCTTCTACTTTTATTCGTTTTTGTTGTATTTGTGAATTCTTGTTTTTCACATCATGTTGTTTTCACCATTTTTCGCTTTGTTTCTCCATTTTTCATGTTTTTATTCTCTTTTTTGTCTCGATTTTTATTGTTATTCTTTTATTGTTATTCTTTTATTTTTCAAGCAATTGTATCCTCGTATATTGTGGTGTATCGGTAATGAAAAGATGCGAGTGAATTGAATGCTATGACAAGAATGAATGCTCTTTATTGAATTACTTATAGCTAAACATGCGAATGTAGAAATGTCAAAGTGAACCATTTCAATGAGTCAATCGTTTCATACGTGCAACTATGAACTGTCAACTTTATTCATATTCAACATATATGGTTCATTTTATTCGAGAATTTCGATTCACTCCAAATATATTTGCCATAGCAACCGGAAACCAAAAGAGTTAAGCTTTCAAGTGATTGTAAATCGTGCCAAATATGCTTTATGTGGAATCGCAACGACTCAAATTTCTTCTCACATAATTCTTTATTTGTGATTTTTTACAATCGGTAAACTTTCGGCAAGTTGATTTCCTGGGAATATGACATTTTCTTTTGAATTTCATGAACAAATGCATGTTAAAATAGTTAAATTGTGTTTCTATCATCAAAATGTTTCCGCATTTTGCGAATAATTTTTTGATATGTTTTTATAAATTTTACCAGGTATATTTGTCGTTTCAAGTCCACACATATCTCGCACATGCTTTCGTTGCATACTAAATCTTGTACACTTTTCGAACTTCCATTCGAAAATCTGCCATTCATTCCGCACAGTGAATAGAAACTATTTTAATCGGATAGAATATGAATGTCAAAATTGATTTCATCAGCAAGTTTCCATTTTCATTGTCATTTCAAGACAATTTAAATGAAAAAGCCCGGTTCCGTGTTGAATGCATCAGAGTCCCAAAAACTAGTTCAGTCGTTTGTTTCACCAAATGAATTGGCCGTTATACACATTCTCAACCACATTAATAATGCATGCGTATGGAATTCATCATGGAAGTTTATTACGAAACAGTTGTCGGAGTTGAGTTTTTCGGTGGACGTTAGGTTGAAGTGGTAAAACTGCAGTTTGAACATTAACATTTCAGTGGAGGGATTGTACCATTGAGTAGTTTGGAGCAAAAATGTAATACAGAAAAGATCCGCGGAAAAATGTCAATGATGAATGAGCGGAAAGGGGATAGCTGTATAGTATACTGAATAGTAAACTATAGTGAACTATATAACTATCTCTTTTCATTTGATATTTTCCCGCTCAACTTTTCTGTATTACATTTTCGCTCCAAACTACTCATATCTCGATGAAACCATAACGGAAAGTTCAAACTCTTGTTTGCATTTATTTTATCAACAGACTTTGGTCAAATACTATTTCTCTATGACAGTGCACAAGTTAGAGTTTGGTTGCCTGCCTTTCAATAAGCATTTCAATTTGCAATCATAAATTTATTTCGGTGAATAATTACAATACAAATTCTAGCTCGTAAAACGTCGTTTGTCGTCCATTTTGAATTACAATTACGAGATGAATTGTGTTTCGACATGCGAATTGCAAACTAACATTCATGAGTCATGACGAACATTCAAGACGAACATTCTTTGAAATTCAGTATCAATAAATAACGCAATTTACATGGATTTTTATTGAAAGTTCTCTCTTGATTTGGATTTTAGTAGTTCAAACATTTGAATTTCTATCTATGGAAATGGACATTTTTCAGGCCTTCATTTATATGTCCATGAAACTTATGCACCCATCAATTATCATTGTCGTATGACTTCAACTAACGAAAGTGTTGTAATTCAATCAATTCAAGCGCTTGAGTTGGATTGTAGTGAAAGTAATGCGTTAACGAATCATAATTAGGTTGATTTAAGTGGAAGCTCATTGAAGCGACTTTGTAGATGTCATCAAAACTGTGATAGCGTTTGGGTTGAAATGTCCTTTAACTTCTTTTTCGATGGCTGCAACTCTTCAAGCAAAATAAAATCGATTCTCCCTTTAGATCAAAGCATCGATTTCCTTTTTGCGTGTGCTTGTCTTTTTTGTTTCAAAATGAAAGCGATAGCTTGAAATTGCCAATTTAATTTGATTCGATTGCGTCGTTAAACGCGAACGAGATAAGAACCAGAATGAGTGAAGTACGACATTATCGGAGCGAAGCGTCACAATTTAATTAATTGATGAGGAGCTTAACGATGTTAGCGTTTGTGTGTGTATATATGTACTGTGTGCTCCTTGCATCTGAGAGCGAATGGGTTTCCGTCTTTGCTTCACTTATCGATAAAATTATTTTTGACTTTAATAAATTTTTCTTCTCCATATACATTGATTGGATACTTGCGCCTTCAAAAGCAAAATTGAATTTGTAATAGCAACTCTTCTCGGCTTTGAACGCCGCTTCCTCGTAATTGCAATTGCCGGCGTAATTGTCATAATTGATGGAATCACGTCAATGACAAATCCTATTAACTGTCGAGTTTTCAATGTTTACTCTGAAATACGTGTGTGCCGGTGAAGAAATGAGGCCAAAGTATCCATTTCATATATTCAAATTACATGATTTCCATGCAAGTTTGTTGATATGCTCATATGAATTCAAGGAAAATTACCCACGCTTACAGCCATGGCTTCAAACAGCTATTTTAATTGAATGTCACAAAAAATACTTATGAAATATTTATCATTGATTAACAAAGTGGATGTTCCACATTTTTATTTATTAAATGGCTTTTCTTTCGCTCAAACTTTCTATGTTTTTGTTGAAAAAGTATATTTTCGATAACAAACAGAAAATTACCGACAATTCAAAATGAAATAAGTGAAGCAAGCGAAACCAAATTTAAATAAATATTAAAAAAATAAACTCTTAATGGTCTATACTCTAGAACTGATCCCCTGAACTGTCATCGATTGCATATTTCCTGTTGATCAAAAGTAATTCACATTCTTTCTTGGAACGTAATTTTTTGAAAACAAAATTAAAACAGTAATAAATATATTTCGGTTCATGTGCAAAAATTTGAACAACTTTTAACACAGTTCTATTGATAAAAATATAATTTTCCATCATTTTCTTGAAGAAAAATTATTTTTCTTTACACTTCTCTTAATTTTTCCTTTTGTTTGACCATATTCTAAATTGTACATATAACAATGATTTCTAACTTCACATAAATTATTCTAAATATTGCGTTGAAAAAACTATCGAGTATTCATCATTATTCGAAAAATCTTTTTCAACGACGGTCTATTTTCATATTGCGCAACAAACAAAGAATTTAGCAATGGTAATGAAAGTTTTATGTTGTTTTCTGCAGACACATCGTGGGATTTATTATTCATCAAGTCGATTTCGGTTGTGGGGGTAGTTCGAAAGAGAACCATTTCGAGAAGTCATTAGATAGCGACTGCCGATAAAAAGTAAGTTCCGATTGAGTAGATAAAAACCTGTGAATAAAACTAGGGTGAATTTCCATAAGAAAGCTCAAGGGTCACTCAAACTAATGCAATTCTTTTCATTTTTTTCTGCAGATTCAGCGCACGGCAGAAGAAGAAAAACAGTGACGACGAAATCTAAGCAAAAAGTATTTATATAAACACATTGTGTGACTCCAAGGCAACAGATACAGAGTGAAAGGCAAAAGCATCGTCATCATGATACAACACTTTATTATTTTTACATCGATTCTCTACACATTTAGTGGTAAGTAATGATTCTATTCGATTTTTTTTTGCGGGATTCCAGTTTTCCCGTGAGTGACCACTTTATTTGTTGTTGATGACCCATCGTTAGTTATCCACTAAATACTCTCCATTCAAACACACAGACACAAACATTCAATGCACATTGAATTTTTGTGCTATTTAGAAAATCAACGTTTTTATTTGACTTTTTTTTATCTTGGGAAGATGATTCAGCATTGCTACACAGAAATTGTGGAAAAGAAGCTATTTTCAGGGAACTGGTCAAAATTGAATGGATCTTTTTTTGCTACAGTTACACTCGAGTTGGAAAAAAGTCATATTTTTTGCCTCAGACGATTGTACAATTTTCTTCATTCAAGTTACAAGCTTGTTTTTGTCTCCGTTTTTAGAACATCGTACATTGTTATGTTTCCACATTTTTTGTTACTTTATCTAAATGAGACAACGAAAATCCTGAAAAATTCAACGATTACAACGCAAAGCTCGTGGAAACATTGTGCACTCATTCAATGCACATATATGGTAACAAAAAATTTGCGGCTACGCAAAGTTTTCCTTAAACTCATCTACGGTTTATTTCACCAGTAAATTCACTTCACTCTTGAGAGACGGAACAATTGTTTGCTGGAAACGATTTTCACGCGCGAGATTAAAAGATTGCATCCATTAAAATTCTGATGTTGTCCTTCATTATGTTACGTGCCAACCGCAAAACTAAATCTCACCAACCGAACTCTGACATACATACACACAGAGCAGAGAAGAAAAAACACAGAAGAACGAAATATATGCGACAGTGGGACAGTGAAATTCATATTTAAATTATATAAATCTCAGTTAAGTTAATGTGAAGCAAAGCGCACGATCCAAATGGATTTTTCATTGATCGTGAATATTTTAAGTTACTGTGATTGAATGTAAATTTCATAGAGGTGCAACGATAATACTACGCGCCCTAACTACGTTATGCAAACTACATGACGTAGAGCACTACGCGCCCCGGTACGTTTGTATGGGCAGTGCACCGCTATGGGAAATTTACTGACCAAAGTGTGATTATTTTTTGATTTTCAGTCCAGTCATTCAGAAAATGTCAAAACTTTAAGTAACGGAGATAAGACAATGATGGTGATAAAAATGAGAAACACCAATAAAAGATTTTAAAATCAATGGAATGGAAATTACAATCTAGACTCATTTGGGAAATAGGTTGCGTATGGGATTCGTAGAGGCGCCATCTGTTGCCGTGCTTTTGGACTCTTATGTATTCCATTGACTTCAATTATATATTTGGGAAAGATGGTGGCGCCACGCTTTATTCTCATGCTTTGTTCGTAAATTTTTAGAAAAAAGTTCATACGCTGACATCAATGTATTTCAGGGCGTGTTTTGAGCTGACGTTAGCAACACTAACTAACGTTAGCGGCTGATATCAGCTGCTGATGAGTATGCGTTGCGTTGTTTTAATGGATTTGCAGTATATGTCGAAATGGAATAACAACAGAAAACCTTTGATAATCACGCTTCACAAAGGATAATACTCGAAATTTCAATTGAAATGCGAATCAAATTCCCGAGTGAAAATATTTTTGACTATCATCTATAAAAAACACCCAATATTGACTGAAATTTGAATCGAGGGCAGGTATGACACGAAAATTGATGCCTTTTTCATTTAAAGCATATAATAATTATTTCAGATAGCATCTGGTTTGTTTTATACACGCATTACATGAAACGATATGATACCCATTGTGATATTGAAGAAAAAAAAATCAGTAACTGTTGAGATATCGGGATCACACTAAACACATAAACTTCATCTTTCAATGACTATGAAATTTGATCATCATTTTACGCGATAAAAGAAACAAATTCAATGCAAATCAGCGAATTTCTTCGAAAATATCACTTGGGCTACTTCATATGTTTCAGAAATATTTATCGGGACTGTTTTATTTAGAAAAAAAAGTGCAATAATTCATGTTATTGCAAATTGCGTGCATACGGGTTGCATTCAATGCATATTATTCAACTAATCCACAATTATTACAATCCGTTTGTAGTTCAAATCAAACCTTTGTTTAAAACTATACAGTTTTGTTAGGTTATAACCTATACTATAGTGTGTAAATCTAAAATGTGGTTTGAGCGTTTGTTTTGATTGTGCCACAAAACGAAGGTAATGTTGATTCATCTAATTGAAATACGTTTTCAGGTACTGTTTTTATCTGGAAAAATAAATTAATTACTTTTCCGTACACAACGTGTCAAGGGAAAGTATAGGAATTGGTCCCGAAAACTTTTTTCGCAAAATTAGCTTAGATCATCATGAAAACTCATGAAACGCGTAGAAAACCACTTTTTGAGACACTTTTCCGTTCGTGTGCCGTTTGTAAACACGATAACTCAAAAAATAATTGAGATAATCAAAATCTGGAAATGCCAAAAATTTTGTATTCGAAAAACTTAGTTTAAGTTCGAAGATGAGCCATTTTCTATTTGATCCTGGGGTACTTGCCCTAAGAAAAACCTCAAAAAATTGACACTTTTGTATGGGAGGTACCTGTAAATCGACTCCGATTGGCTTCAAACTTTCTGGGAATTCATTTTGTGGAAGAAAAATAAGATTCTGAAAGTTTGAAACCAATCGGAATCGATTTACGGGTACCTCCCATACAAATTTTTGAAATTTTGACTAAAATTACCGATTTTTGGACAATTTTGTATGGGAGGTACCCGTTAATCGATTCTGATTGGCTTCAAACTTTCTGAGGTTTCATTTTTTGGAGAAAAAATAAGATTCTAAAAATTTCATGTTGATCGCATCTGCAGAAGTTTGACTTTTTGTCCTCAATTTCGGCCGACATTTTCTTGGAAAAAATTGAGGGCCAAAAACCAAACTTCTGCAAATGCGATCAACATGAAACTTTCAGAATCTTATTTTTTCTCCAAAAAATGAAACCTCAGAAAGTTTAAAGCCAATAAGAATCGGTTTTCGGGTACCTCTCATACAAAATTGTCGAAGTTTTAGTTAAAGTGACCGATTTTTCACTTTATTTTCATTATTATATTTTCACTGCCTTTATTTAAAGAAAATTCACAAAAAATAACCAAAAGTACCTACGGACAACGTGGGCCAACGGTACGGAAAAGTCCGGGATTACCAATGTAATTCTTTTAATTTTCATTAAAATTTCAACCGAAAATGTCAAAAATGTTATGTTTTTGTGAATCTCGTTAGTTTGATTGAATGTGAGTTCTACGAATATTTGAATATTTTTACAACAATGACGTTGACATCATTTATAATTTACAACGTAATATTTTTAATTCACAAGAGTATTACAATTGCATACAGTTGTAAAAAAACTTGATCAAAAGAGTGAAGCGAAATGAAAAAAATTAATAGAGTAGAAATAAAGCACGTTCTTTCGAATGAATGTGCTTGGATAAACATATGAGGATTCAATCCATTAAGCAAATAATAACACAGTCAAAGTGCTTTTGGATATTGATTTGAACTGAGCGAAGGGATTGGGACGAATTGTAAAATGAAAGGAAGTGCATCGAGTGTTTTTGCTCTTGATTGCGTTGATGCGTGGAAATCAGTGATTTGAAAAACAGTGTGACATTTGATATGTTGTGGCACAGATGTTGCAATAACTATGAATGAGGTATGTTGAATCCATTGACGCTAATGAATTTCCTTTGAAGCCGTTCTGCCAGAACAACATTCTATTGCAATGTTGGCCCCATCTACACATTTGACAACAAATTAAAATTGTTGCTGTTTGTTTTGAAGAGGAATGAGAAAAAAACACTGCATTCCCTTGGGTGTGTCGGTGTTGCAGCCATTCAATTTTCCGTGCATTGTAATTTGAGTGCGTTTGCTATGTATTCAGTTGTCAACAAAATTCAGTAGTAGTACCGAATTCCGAAACGGTAGCGAAACCACTTGAAATCAGTTATTTTCTGTGCGCTTTGTAATTCAACACATTTTTCTCGTCGAATTTTTCTGCCGCCGTTACAAAAAGTCAGAAAAAAAATCTGAACGATAAAGTAAATGGCAAACATACGTTTTTGGATGGTTCAGCATTTCATCATTTCGTATGCAGCGGATATATCCCAGCATATCGACGACACAAGTTACTGTATAAGCGGCGTACGTTGATGTGTACAGCTACATCGATTACACACAAACACTGCGCTCTCTTATACAGTGACTTGCATCGTCGATATGCTGTGATATATCCGCTGCATACGAAATGCTAAGATGCTGAACCATCCAAAAACGTATGTTTGGTAAATGGTGATCGTGTGCTATGATATCCTGTGAATGTAAAATACATCGGCAAGGGAAGGAAGCAGCAACAGCAACAGCAACAGCAACAGCAACAGCAACAGCAACAGAAGCCAAATAAAAACTACATCTCACAACCGGATAGTGACAATGATGATAATGATGCACATCAAGCGGAGCCTGACTCCCGAGCAGAGGAAGACGGTGCAGAATGAAAAAAATGAATTTGCCGGAAGAGCAGGAATTTTATGTTAAAATACTAATGGACTTGCATGCTCGTACAAGCAAATAATTGAATATACGTACACTTGACGCATTTCCCTCAGTGTATCACATTATCATCAGCATTGGCGCTATCATCAACCATCTTCACATGCTGCATTGTTAAATGCTCGCTTCCATTCTACCTCGATAACAATGATCTCCCTTTCTCGTCCATTTTGGGCACATTAGTTGACACACGGTAAAAATTGTTACATTTACTACTCACGATGATTGAAACGCACGGCAATGGCTTTTGTTTCATAATTGAGTCTGGGCAGGAAATTTACGCTTCAGCATTATAATTGCATTGTAATTTATGGCGTAAAATCAATAAAACCCGTAGCTACATGGCGCTTCAGCTATGCCCAACTGAGATTTATATTGATTTTTCGTTCAGTTTATACCTGCAACTGCATTCGACTGTACAAGTA